GACGTATAGGGACACCAAGCACGGTCATTGTGCTGTGCGCTGTGCAGATCTCTGGAACTCATCCGTCCCGTGGAATAGAAACTTCTCACCTTCTCACCAAGCTGCTACTCTCTTCTCGGTTACCATGGATTTGGCCTTTCCAGACCGTGGAGTGAGGTCATACGTTGTTGTGTTTCTGTATCCGACTTATTTCACACTTCACTCAGCACAACATGAAGCAGCTGCACCCATGCACCAAGCGACAGAATACCCTCCTTTGGAAAGGTTGTATATAAGTCTTACATAAAAGCAGGATCTGTATTGTTAAAAATAATTAAATTAAAGAATTGTAAAGGCTGTACAGAGTTCAACACAGCATATACCAGCAATCCTAGCACTCGGGAATCCAAGGCAGAAGAACTGAGTTAGAGGTCACAATTAGCCTCTAAGAGCACCTGCTGCCCTTGCAGAGGCTCTGAGCTTGGTTTCCAGTACCAACATGGCAGTAACCATATACAGCTCCAGTTTCAGGGGATCTGGGCTCCAGGGACACTGCATGCATATTGTGTACAGACATACATGTTGGCAAAAATCACCCACATACAGAAGAAGAAGCTATACAAATCTTTAAAATAAACAAATAACCTCCAAATTAAAACCAAACCAAACCAAACCAAAAACCAACCAAACGAAAATACCTAACACCCTAAACAAAGAAAAGGCTGTAGGGGCTGGAGACATAGCTCAGCATTGGAACACTTGCCTGGCATCAGGGGCCCTGAGTCTCCCCCAAGAACTAAGAATAGAGGAAGGTTATAAAGTATGTCATTATGTATATAATCCATATTTTTCAAAGCATTTCATACATTGAATGATGTTTAAGTTGTTTTTATACTGTGACTTTGGGAACAGTGCTAAAATAATCATCTATTTGATATACTGATTTATTTTTTGGATATACACACAATAGGATTGCGGATTATATGGTGATTCTAATTTTAGGTTTTTGAGAAAGTTGCATATTGTTTTCCAAAGTGGCCACACTAATTTACACCTTGTCGGCAGCATCCGCATGCCCACCAGTGCAGGCCATCTTTCATCCTTTTGATAACAGCCATTTGGCTGGTCTAGGGACTAAGTGTCTACACTTGTGCCTCTGTGCATTCGAAATGATGACTTCTTGAGTCTGCTTGCAGAAAGCTTACCAGGTCAAAGGGATTTCTCTACTTGTCTAGTACCCTGTTCTCCACTGCCAGTCAGCATCTAATTGTGATCAACTTCTTGTCACAGTGTTGGCAAACAATAGTGTCATCGTGATGTTAATTCTGTTTGGTGCTGCTAGGCAGAGACTCTTTGAACTTTTTTTTTTTTTCCCAAGGCAGGGTTCTCTGTGTTGCTTTGGAGCCTGTCCTGGAACTAACTCTTGTAGACCAGGCTGGCCTCAAACTTACAGAAATCCACCTGCCTCTACCTCCCGAGTGCTGAGATTAAAGGCGTATGCGATCACTGCCCAGAGACTCTTTGGACTCTTGAAGATTGCTGGAGTCCAAGAGTTCAAACGCAGTCTGGGTAACACAATGAGACCTCCTTCTCAAGAAAGAGTAGGAAGGGGGTTCCCTTGAACCCTGCATTAATACTATACTTAGACATTTCTCTTTTTTCTCTCTCAGGTTCTTAAATATTTATTCCAGAGGACATGAAATAAGATAAAAGTGATGGATTTCTTCCCTTTTTGTTTTTGGAGAAAGGGTTTCTCTGTGTCGCTTTGGAGCCTGTCCTGGAACTTTCTTAGTAGAACTCGAACTCACAGAGCTCTGCCTGCTTGTACTTCCCACCTGCTGGGACTAAAGGTGTGCACCACCACTGCCCAGCTATGTGTTTCTTTAGCTTGAAACTAAATGAAATGAGGTGAAAGACTCCAAACTGCTTTGCCCAGAGGGTAAACTCCTGTGAGAAGCCAGCAGTGTGCAGAACATTGTTTAGAAACAGGGCACTGAGATGTCTTTATAGGCCTCTGGTGTCTGTGCCCACATGTCTGCTGTCTTTTCTAGCGAGTTTTCACATAGCTGGGCTTCACACTCTGGAGTCCATGAACTGTGTGCTCACCTCCTGAGGCAAGAGATGGTAGCATATTTGTCATGGGTGACAGCTGAGGAGCTAACAGCAAACAGATCATGTTCCTGTAGAGACGGTATGTAGCTCTCCACAAGGAGAGAGAAAAAAAAACCCTTTGTTTTTGTTTATTTATTTTGAGAGATAGGAAAAAAGTTTGCTATTAAAGTTATCCCCCAATGACAGAAAAATCTTTCAAACTATATACTTAGAAACACATTACTTTGGGGGACTGGAGATGGTTCAGTTGGGAAGTCTTTGCTGTGTGAACATGAAGACCTGAATTCAGATTCCTAACACTGTTGTCAAAACTGGGCATTGTATACCTCTCGTCAGTGCTCAGACGGTGGAAACCAGAAGGTGTTCGGGCCTGGCTGCCCAGGTAGTCTAACCATACCTGTGATCTCCCAGCTCAGAGCAAGCCATTGTTTCAAAAATTAAGGTAAACAGGTCAGCAGGTAAGGATGCTTGCTGCTAAGCCTGATGGCTTGGGCTTGATCCCTGAAATCCACAGAGTAGAAGGAGAGCGTCTCTAATTTCCACATGCTATGGTATATGCATACACACACAACAAATAAATGTAAAAGAAATAATGTGGAGAGAAAGACGCAACACAGACCTTTAGTGTTCACATATATGCACTCACATGTGACCACGTAGACACACATACAAATATACACACAATATATATACACACACATATTTATGCACATATATATGCATTTTTGCTTTAGTCTGGGTAGTGTAAATTGTGGAGGAGAGCGAGGCCAAGCAGAGCAGAGATAGGGCAGGTTGCCTCAGCACGGATCACGGTGTACTAGAGAGCCCCCTGTGGCAGGGAGGCAGGTAGGATCTAACCTTTCGTTTGGGAACCAGGAAAGCAGCAAGTGCCCACAATTATTTAGTTACAGCAAAACTTTTGGGGGAATGTGTAATTTTTTACACAGCTGTGATGGGGTCTACTTCAAGAAAAATTTTAAGATAAATCAATAAACTTAAATAAATATTTAAGTTTTGACAAACTTCTAATAAATTGTAGGGTAACATTTTACTGTTAAATAAGTAGTTATCTAATCCTAAATACTATTTTTTGTTTTAAAAAAGTCTACTCTCAACTTCTGTGAGTCTTGGGATAAGAGTAGAGCCCATATATTATATATTTAAATATTTGAAAGTTATACCCCAAATTAATAAGGTTTTCTAGATGGAGTATGTTCTGTCCTCTTACTGCAACAAATATTTCTCCATAACAACCTGTAAAGTAGAATTACTAGACCACCAGAATGCAGCAGTGTGGGCACACCTTCTCACCAGAGTGGGCACACCTTCTCACCAGCACGGCACACCATCTCACCAGCGCGGGCACACCATCTCACCAACACGGGCACACCATCTCACCAGTGTAGGCACACCATCTCACCATCTCACCAGCGTGGGCACACCATCTCACCATCTCACCAGCATGGGCACACCTTCTCACCAGTGTGGGCACACCATTTCACCAGTGCGGGCACATCATCTCACCAGCGTGGGCACACCATCTCACCAGCGTGAGCATACCATCTCACCAGCGCGGGCACACCATCTCACCATCTCACCAACGTGGGCACACCTTCTCACCAGTGTGAGCACACCATCTAACCAGCGTGGGCACACCTTCTCACCAGCGTGGGCACACCATCTCACCAGCGTGGGCGCACCATCTAACCAGCGCAGGCACACCTTCTCACCAGTGTGAGCTCATCCCTGGCAGTACGAGCCTAGGGCCCAGGCTTGGAAAGGTGCTCCAAGCGGGCTCTGTCCTTAGGGCTGGGGTCTCCAGACTCCTGGGCCGTCACAGTATCGAGCTTCCTCATCGATGGGAAAGTGTGCAGCTGGGAAAGGCTCGGAATGAGAGCTTTTCAAGTGCAGGGCTCAGGGCAGGGAGGACCTTCCTGGAGGACCTCGGGTGAGCCTGGTTTGTCACCTGGGACTCGGCTTTATTGTCCGACGTTCACTACTAATCTGCCCTTATCCTAAGCCTTTTTTCTGCTTTCCCTCAGACCTCAGGAAGGCCACCCGTTGTCCTGCTGAGATACTAGTTTTAATAAATAGGACACCATGATTGTGTCTCCCATTTCTTCTTCTTTGGATCCAATTACTTCTACTAATTATGTGGAATCTTATTAGCCAAGTTTACTCACGGGAGGCCCAACCGTGAAGAGTGGGGAGGCAGGCAGGCTGGGAACAGACACGTGCTTTGCTTCCATGAGAACAGGGCTGTTCAGAGGGTTCGCCCAAATTCCACCCTGTGGACAGAGGAACTCGACTTCGAGGAGCATTTGCACTGAGAAGGAAGAAATCCTGCTTACTGACCACAGCTGGTGAGAAGCAGAAACCCCAAGACCAACCAGGCCTCTGACAAGACCATGGAAATGGGAAGTGAATGACGACATGCCTCTAGGTAAGGGTTAGTCTTCTAGGCAAATGGGCCCCTCGCAGGGCTCCCACGGTTTTCCCAGGACACGTGAGCAAAATAAAGAAATCCCCACTCCTCACCCAGTTGGAGCCCATTCCTGTGAAGTACTAAGTGCTTTGAGCTACAGAGAAAGTTGCCTTAAACCTGCTACGTTGCCTGAGACAGGACTGTCCCCATCTCCAGGGATCCTGGCACTGAGGGTGAGCTGTGCATTTGCTGTGTTCCTGACCAGCCTCATGAGTGGGCTCTACTGCTGCTAGTGCTGTCCTCATTCCCAGACTGCACTGAGAGGGGACACCGATTCACAGAAGATGTTTGCGTGCACGTGCTAGCTCTGCTCGAGGTTTGGGGATAATGGTGACTCCTCATACTGCCATTTTTTTTGACCCTTTCTCTTCCTCTAAAGGCTCCTCATCTTTCTATGTGGCTCCCAATTCTTTCTTTTTTTAATTATATTCCTTCTTGTATGTATCAAAACGCATATTGAGCAATGAGTTCTGGGTTGCAAAAGAGGATTTATTTTTGCACCTGTCTAACCTGCCTTTGTACACCAGCTGACAAAACATATTACAAGCGCTGGTGGCTCCCATTTCTTAATGTGCTTTGCTATAATGGTCAGGGATTATTTATTAAGTCTTGCTAGGTAATGAGGAGAACCAGTAGAGGCTTGCCAATGGCCACCATTTTCTTCCAATTCTTTCACCTAAAGGAGGCAGTGTTAATAATCATTTTTTTTGTCTATATGGGTCATGCCTTCTTTCTCATGGGTCAGTATTGATGTTGCTCTTCTTTGTTTTACCTCGCATTGTAACCTACACTGGTCTCCAATTTGAATCCTTCTGTCTCAGCCTCCTGAAGATTTGGATTACAAGCCTAAGATGCAACGTTTGGTGACTTTGGTTTTAAATATCCCAGTTACATGGAGATTCCAAGACAATCTATCAGTCCCCTGAATTCGTTTCATTCCTGAGACGGATATATCAATCATAGTAACTATAACAGAGAAAATTATATTATTGTTATTATTGGCAGGAGATAAATGTCCCTTCAAAGACAATTGAAGGCTTTTGAACATAGGAATGATATGACCAATCAGGGTTTCCATCTGAGTAAAGGAGAAAAGATCATCTCAGAGCAAGAGGCCCCTTAGGAAGGTGGGAGGTCGTGAGCTAGGATGTGACACTGAGAACCGTGAGGAGGGCGGAGATGCGAGGGTTCAGGGCAGAGGCACTGAAGATAGGCGCAAACACTGAAAACAGATGCTAATCTAAGGCAGGAACACGGGTGCCAACTGTGTGCAGTGTAGCGTGAATATGGCTGGTGCTGGGGACCCTGCAGGAGTGGCAGGCGTCACTCAAGGTTAGCCGCTGTATTCTCTCGCTAAGTATTAGAAGCTATTTAAGGCTTGAGGGCATACAACAGGTACCGGCTATCTGTATAAAGAGAGGAAAAAGACTCGGGATCAAGTGGAACTCAAGTGGAACGTCTCCTGGGAAGCAGGAAGTCAAGGACAAAGGACTGGGTGGGCAGCAGAGGCGAAACAAACACCTATAGTCACAGGATGCAGTGTGCCCGTACAATCCACACCAGCTGGCGGTTCATTCCCCTGTACCCAGATGAGATGAAGGACATATGTCAAGCACAACAGAATTTTACTTCCAATTGCTGGGTTGGTCATGAACGCTCTGTGAGAGTAGTGATTGATCTTTGCACGTCGCACACATGGTAGACACGGAGAACGGCAGCAACAATCAGATACACTGCATTAATCTGCGTGTTGTTGAGTACTTACTGTTTATGTAGAGGGTCTAGACCAAGGGGTAGATAGGCTGATGCTTGATTCAGAATCATTTATTGGCAGTAAAAGTGGAGCTGCTGCTCTTGGATTACCTATGTGGCCCAAGGAAGAGAAGGAGGACAGTCTTTTGGGGCAGTGAGCCCACAGGTGTAAGGCTGGCATTACTGACTAGCGCTTGGCGCCTCCTTCTCTCAGTCGTCTATTCGTCCGTCCGTCTGTGTCCCCCCCACAACGATGGTCACTGCTTTCCCATCCAGCTGTCCTCAGTTCTCATCCATCCCTGGTCCTCCTACCTGTGGCGCCTCCTCTAGCTGGTGGTTTTATTCCATTAGTTTCTTCTGACCTGGGAATTTTATTTCTTCTTATACTAAGACTGTTACTTAAATAATATTTCTCATGGTCAGAGCCTTAGCTTTTCCTCTTTTTCCAACTGACAAGCAGCTCCTACTTCTGACTCCTCTCTGAGTGTTGGTAGTGGTGTGAGGTTCTCCACGGACCACCCGCAGCTTGGGACAGCCATGGCGCGTCAGTACGCAATCTGGAAAAGCCAGCATCCTGTCACCACGGAAGTCCAGGAGGTACCACCTAGACACAGTTCCTGTGCAGAGAACACATGCTTAGTGTGCAGGGGTTTAGCACCAACCACTAGTGACGTTTAAAAGGGAAAAAGGAACCGGAATGGGGGTTCAAGCAAGCACCCGGAAGCAGTAAGCAGAGCTTGGTGTAGTCATCTGTCCTCTATGCCCCGAATGTGCTTGAATTTGGCTTGCTTCCCAGTGCTGACCTCGTCAGCGGCTGTCAGTCATTCCATTCCCAGGCCTCTCCTTGTTGTCTTGGCTAATGTGTTCGCAGACTTAATCATTTGCTTCCTCCAAGCCTGGAGGGTGTGTCACCTGGGAGGTGGAGCTGGAGGTGACCCACCTGGTTGGCATTCCAATCAGGTAAGGCAGCAGTTACTCTCCTCACAGCCTAAGGAACTGGCTTCCCTTCTCTACCAACCTGTTGGCCTCTTCTGGCCTTAAGAAGCCATCCTAATATCCTTAGGGGATTTGTCAGGCCCAGGATAAGAACACACCCGACTCTGCCAAGGGCTCTTCAGTTAATGTCCTATCACAGCTCACCCAGGGATTGTGCGAGCAGTAGCTGGCAGCTAACTTGAGTCTTATTTGCAATAAAGTACTCCCAGTTCATCTTAGGCCCTCACAGGGTGGAGATGTTCTTCTTAGGGATTCCCCTAAATCCTAATCCTAGGAAGTTTTAGAAGCACACAAAGGTAATCTAGTACCACTCATCGGTTCACTGGCAAACTCTTCTTTTGGTATATTATTTATTCCTCTTTTTAAAAAAAGTCAATTAAGCGGTCAGTTATGGACAAAGCTTTGTGGAAATGAGCAATTCAAGGCGATTATAAACTCCAATTGATCAGTGAAGACATTTATAATTTGGAGCATTATATGAAGGTTTTTTAAAGGGAGTGATAGAGTTTACCTTGAGCTCTACATAGAGAAAAAAACCGTACCGATAGAGGAGGAAGTTGCGAGTTGCGGTGTTGGGCTAAGGTCACATCAAGCTGCCTCTTTTCCCAACTCCTTATTCAGTAAATCCCATTATAATAGGGAATCATCGGTGCAGAAGTGCACCATGGGAACTGACCAGCGCTACTAACCATAGCCTTTTCCCCTCTGGAAAGCCAGTTGTTAATCCTCACTAGCACACCATGGGTGGCAAAAGACAGTAGAACACAGAGGTAGAGGTAGGAAATAAGAAGCTCCCTATTCGGGTGCTAGAACCAGACTAAGGTCAGGCTATATGGGAGCTTATTAAGGAAACTAAGGAAGTTTGCATTTCTTTATAATACCAGGGAACTAATGCCATTTGATTTGTTGAGATGCTTTGGCTACAAGTCATAGAAAGTTTCATTCAAATGGTTTAAACAATAAGTAAGATGTATTAGCTTATGTAACAAGAACTCCCAGTGGGGCCATGCCAGTATTGGTTAAAGCATTCATTTGCCAAGGGTCCAGAGTCTTTTAATTGTTTTTCATCTGCTATCTTCTGGATATCAATTAGTCTTCCAGCTAGCATAACAGTTAAAAATCAACATTCAAACAACAGGAAAAAAATACTTTATTTTTTCTTCTTGTCTCTTTGTAAGAACAAAGACAACCCGCACGCTCCCCAAAAGCCTCCAGCATATTTCTTTGCATTTCCTATTGGTCTGAATTCTACTACCTGTCTAAACAAAGCTAAAGAAAAGGGTAATGGAATTTGATGATCATCTGTGTTTCACCAGTGTTTCCTCCACCCACCTCCCTGGAACCGGCCTCCTCAGAGCCACACAGAGAAAGCTTGCTATTGAATGTAAAACCAAGGCTCTATAAGCAAAGAGGAAGGAGATGGACATTGGATAAGAGTCCTAGTTTGCTTTCTGTTGCCATGAGAAACACCATGACTGAAAACAACTTGGAAAAAAGGAGTTTATTTTGGTTTATAGACTATAGTCTATCTTCAAGAGAAGTCGGGGCGGGAGCTCAAACAGAACCTGGAGGCAGGAACTGAGGCAAAGGAGTGCTGCTTACTACTGGTTTGTTCTCTGTTTCTGCTCAGTTAAATTCCTTATATAACGCAGGCCCACCCACACAGGGATGGCCTACCAACAGGGGGCTAGGCCCTCCTCCATCAATCAGCAATAACAAGCAAACAAAACATTGACTCCAAAGACATGATCTGGTGGAGATAGATCCTCATTTGAGGTTCCCTCTCCCCCACATGTATCAAATTGACAATCAAGAATAACTATCTTGCCGTGTGTCTGGACTGCTTTGGTGGAGAGAAGTCATTGGCGTACCTTAGGAGATAGAATCTAGCAATGATATGGAAGTGGTCAGAAGGTCTGGGAGTAAAAATATTAATATTTTATGATGAGGACGACAACAGGGTCTCACTTTGTAGTTCAGGCTGGCCTTGAACTTGACATCCTTGGCCTTTTATGTACCAGGAATTAGTCATGAACCATAGTTCCTGGCTCCTGTTACACTTTTATTTTTCATTATTTTATTTATTTATTTACTATGTATGTATACAATATTCTGTCTGTGTGTATGTCTGAAGGCCAGAAGAGGACACCAGACCTCATTACAGATGGTTGTGAGCCACCATGTGGTTGCTGGGAATTGAACTCAGGACCTTTGTAAGAGCAGGCAATGCTCTTAACCGCTGAGCCATGCCTCCAGCCTCCCCTGTTACACTTTTATAATGACAAGTTGCCAAAGCAATGGTTCTCAATGGCCAATTTGCTACCAAATTCAACTAATATTGAATGAATGACTATCATAGGCCAAATATTGTCATTGTTATTATACTTTAAAATGGTGTGTTTACCTCATGGAGCTTTAGAATCTGATGGGTAAAGCACATATCAGATGGCTCACAAATAACATAAAGTTTGTAGCCCATTTCAGCATCACGAAGGAGCCTAGAGTTCCTTGCCTTTCTTTATAGTAATGAAACCCACCTCCAGCAAATCTCAAGTGTACAATGAGACATAGATGGGGCTGGAGCAATGGCTCAGCACTTAGAGCACATGCCGCTCTTCCAGAGCACCCAGTTCAGTTTAGCTGTCAGCATCTAGGGTGACCCACGACCATTTTTAACTCCTGTTCTAGGGGACATAATGCCCTTATCTGGGCTCCATGGGAAACAGGTCCATGCAGGGAATATACACAAATATATAAAGTAATAACTTAAAATTAAGACAAAAACGCAGGTGACAGACATGTG